CGTTTTAGAAACGTTCCGTAGTCTGTGGTGATAATGTCGAATTGGAGAAAACCATCTCGAGAATGTAACTGTTCGGTTCGCACTGTATACCACCCTCAAGTGAACACAACAGAAATTGTAACCAGTGGCACCGCAACCTGCGCATCAACCACGGGTGTACTATAACCAGCAACAAGAGCAGCATTATATGAGGAACTTGAAACTAGTTGGCATTCCTGGTTTATTACTACGTCGAAAATCCTATTCAACTGAATGATAGACAAAGATGACAAAAGCACTAATAATAGACGGAGAAGCACTACGGCGTAGACTACGTATGAGCCGCCACGAATGCGCGGGTTACATATAATTCGAATCGTACCATCCCGAGTCCAGCGAAGAATTATATCAATGAATGAGTGCTCCTACTAGAGCGCTACCAGCGATGTTGTATAATGCGTGTAATAACGTCAGGTTTAACGACGGGAACAAGACAATCTAATTTAGATACGATTTTGGAATTCTGTTCTTGCGGGTACCCATTGTCCCATTGAGACAGTCTAAAAGGAGTCCCAGTGCAGTAATGCAAGTCGATCCGCAGGACGACGAACCGATGAGCAACTCATCAGGACGATATGTGGTGGCGTAGGTGAAATCCTGAATGAATACTGAATGTATCAAACTATAAAATGATCTTTCCGAGATTTTCCGAAAATCTCCTTAAAATTTTGATATAGTCCCCTGCACACTGTTAGCAAACTGAAGGCTGTCTATTTTCCAGCGAGAGCACGCAGCGATCGTCAAGGGGGTTCTACCACTATAAGAGCACTCACGTTCACAAATCCTAGAGAAACTAGCGTTGAACATTCTTACCTTCACACTTGGTACAAAACATACTTCTTCCAGAGAAATCTGTGAGCCGGGACATTGATCAGGGAACCTCACATGCCTGGCAGTATCACCACTCGGAGACATATCTACCGAAAAAAATCTCATCTGATTTTTCTGTGGAAACTTACTTTCATCAGACGAGTCGAGAAAAAGACTATCTAGTGTTGATGTTGATGCCAAGCTGTGGTATTTAAGACTGTCCTCACACACTGAGCTATCATCATCAAAATGTTTCAAAATTCCACTACGTGGAAATGCCTTCTCAGATTTACGGCTGACAAGCGGATCTTTCATAATGTTGGAGTACAAACGAACTGCATAGAATTGATCAATTCGCCATAAGAGCGCAAAAGAAATCGCTAACCTCAACTAAAGTCAAACACTACTACATGACAAGCATGTACTCATATCAGCTGCCACAAATAGACTGTCCCTCGAAAAACCGCTTCCAATTATAACTCAACAACATCTACTTCTATCCGATATCCACGTGATCACAAGAGTAGACGGAAGATAGCTCGAAACTGGCAAAAATACGCCACTAGAAACGAGCACACCACTCAGGAACGACAAAGTAAAACTAACAAGTGTAACATCAAACACATTGACTAGTACAACAGTGACAACGAACAAACCAGGGGCGAGCTTAGACAACCATCGCTCACTGGAAGATCGATTTCACAATAAAATGACAACATATGATCAGGGTTGAAGAACGTTGGTAATCACCTCGTTAAACCAGATGTTATGTTGTCGTCGCATATCCCTCAAACCGGGGAACGACACAGGAGGTATATGGGCCACGATGGGCACTACTGCTGCACTACTTACATACAGGAACAGCATCGGATGCATCACTGACAATAGCTTGTGAAGCGGGCTCGAACGAGCTATACGCTTGGGACTCGTCTTACGAAAATACACTAATAAGTATCACAGGTGTATTAATATAAAAGGAGACGGGAGAGCGACGCTCCACATGGAGACTACATCAACCATAACTAGGAAAAGAAGAAAACTTTTTTGGTATGATTTTGATCATTAATACACAATGCGATGAGTGATCACATTGACCACGTTGACTAATACGATGTAACATACATACACTCACCCACGCCGTATCAACCATCAAGAGCACTTCAGGGGGGCCTATAGGTCGCAGTGAAACACCACCACGAGGAACAGCAGCATTATGTTTGCTACTGTCCTCCATACAGAAACAGATAGAACAGTTATTGTTACTCGGATAAGTACAGAAACAAGCTAAACCCAAAGAAACATGGGGAACTCTGAATGCGAGACCTATTGAGTAACAGAGGTCGCTAATCTCAAATGACGCTATGAATGGCGACCACCGTGGACCCCGAGTGGCTACTAGAAATTCCTAAGGAACTGGTCTCGTGGGACAAGAGGAAGTTCAGAGGTAATATTCAAGAGGCAACTCTCACAATACAGAGAACGATAAATACTCAGTAGCTTGTCCATCGGAGAAGAAACACTGCCGCAAGAGCAACAGTTGTATACAACAACTAAACTATACTGATGAAAGTGGTGGACTTCGAGTATGAAAACACACGATCGACCACCCCAGTGAACAACTTGATGAAAGAGTAGTTGAATGATGAAAGGCAGCGAGCATCGTGAATCTGCAGCTGAGAGCTATTATCTCAGTGCGGGTTGAATACGTCCATCAAAGGAACTACGTCTTCATAAAAAATGCGGTGTGTTGATGGACTCAACTTACATATAATACGACTCAGACCGCAAAGCCGCAAAGTCCTCCTCCATGGGGTCACTCGCGGAGAAGAGGAGGTGGAGGAACTCCTTGAAACCGCCCATACAGCTCTGACGCTTCTCGGGGTATTCCGTGTCACGAGGCTCGAAGCTGAGAGAGCGATTCAATTCCTAAAATAAAAACAAACATGTGCCAATGGTCGAAGACAGAGAACTACTCACTTTATAACACTCAACAGGGATCACCGTCTCCAGCGACTGGGGACTCCCATAATCATCAGGGATCTCGTCAGCGAAGGAGATACTGTGGTCTTTGGAATGAGCAATAATTTCATTACCTGAGGAAACACACCATATCAATCCGGACGCTGTATGAGAGAGAATCGACTCGAGTATCAGCTCCTCGAATGGAAACTGAATTATACACGGCTAACATGGTAGAATATACGAACTATAGGTGAAAAAACGCGATTGGAGAATGCTGAACTACGTGTCCTCTATAGAAAGAGGATCCAACCGTTACCCATGGAGATCTTACCGTTTCTATCCGATCGAACCGAGCGTGGCGAACTCAGCGAGTCAGCAGTATCCACTGACGACCCACGAGGCGCTAGAGTCGGACGAGGGGAAGACAGTGACAAACAGGAAACCGAATCCGGCGATCTGTCCATTGTCATTTAGAGGGATATTTAGTTGGAGGATTTTTTCAATAATACTGCATCAGAACCCTTCAGTACCGCCACCTGTCGAATACTCAACGAAATGCCAAAAACAAGTGTCGAAACAACCGCCCCACATCTTCCCTTTTGTGCAACGTTGGAGTACTTTCGGGCGAGCGCTAAATCATTTCGCCATTCCGGAACCTAACTCTTCGGGCTATGTACCTCGTTCACACCCATGATCGAAATTCCTATAGTGCCAAGCCTATACATAGCATTGACACTTTTCCTTGAAAAAGCCTTCAACACTATAAGTAACCAAATTAGTGTTACACTGTTGTGCTAGCCAATGGTGACACAACACATAGTCGCTGCTTGTCTACGATCATGTAAGATGCGATTTTTTGGAAGTCACATATTGTCGACCTGAACACCAACTTTCTAGGGTAAATCTGTCTTGAAAATGTTCTCTGATGGATCTAGGAACTCGACGGGGCTATTATGATTTACTATAGCTGTCCCTGCTGGTCGCCTTAGTTCGATCAGTATGGGAATATATGTGTGTGTCGATGACAATATATGTTGGTTTCTATACACTTATACCTCTCAGCGTGTGAAAACTCTCACTCCTGAGCTCAACTGAGGAAACTCAACATGCATTTCGTATTCGATTCGGGAAGAATAACGTAGGTAAATTTTTAGGTAATTTTTCGAAATAACGTAGGTAAATTTTCAGTTAATCTCAAACCCCTCCGATGTTAAGGTTAACCTTGCGAAATCATCAATCGTTCTATCGCAGTCTTCAAGTCAAGAGTTCACTGAGCAAATCTCTAACTGTGGTGAAGGCCGAAGGTCTGCCCTTTCTCACTTGGTACGGTATATGGTACACTCTCGGTGTCACCCTCTGTCACACCTCGGTTTCCTGTCGACCCGAGCTCTATAATAAAGCTCTTACTGTGATGAAAGCCGTCAATCTAGATCGCCTTGTGGACGTCGATCGTATCGATCCAGCAATAGGCAAATGGACTCTTATATTTGTCATGAACAACATCTTAGAAATACCCAGGTTGCCCTTCGTATTGGCCTCGTACGCCTGGTGGAAGCGTGCGGTCGTCACACGATTATGAAAGTTCTTGTAAAACTGCACCACTAGGTTCATTTTTGACGCCCTTTTTGTAGCATTCCTTTCGACGTTGGAGGAGTCGAACGTACAGTGTATCCATTATTTGCATTGCACGAAATATCACCTATAAGGTCTACTGTGCCCAACACAGTGATGGTGGAAACACATTTGACGTAGTGTTGGTATCAATGAAGTTTCACCCTAGTGATATGAAAAACACATTTCACGACTATTCCAAGGCGCAAATATCGCGTTTTTCATGGAGTCTTACGCTACTTCACGTAAAACGGGTGAAACACCAATACAGTAAGCAGTGTTGGAATATATGTTTGCTCTCCTCAGCTGAGCTCAGGAGTCAA